GAGGCTGTCACTCACCGTCAGCCTGTTAGGGCTCCGGCGACGCCTTGTCCGAGCAGTCGCGCTCAGCCACCACCTCAGGAGCTCTCCAGGCACATCCTTCCTTCAGCGACCGGCTTTCCTTCGAGCCGCCGCCACATCCCGTAGGAAGCCTTCGACTCAACCCCGCAACTCTCTTGCCTGTCGGTGGATTTCGGAAAGTGAGTACAGGTACTGTGTATCTCGCCCTTTCCCTAGCAAAGGCAAGCACTACCTGATTCCTAGTGCAGTCTCTAGTAATCATAATACAGTAGTAGTTAAAAAAAAACATTACTTCTATGCTCTGAGGAAAACCCAGTCCGTGGTTGCTTAGCCGACGATGCATGAAACGACCTGAGAAATGTGCCTAGGCTAGGAGGAGGTGGCGAAACGTTAGGAAGAACAACCTTCAGAACACGGCCAAAGAGCCCGAAAAACCCATAACCACCATTAGATCCCCGCGGTGAAAGCCTTCGAGAACACTGTACATTAAAACGAGTTCCTCTTCACTTGAAAGGAAAAGTCTTGGCAGTCTTCAGATTAATGGCACCAGCAGCTTCCAAATTCACAGGGGCAAAATTAGGTGGCAACCAATTTTGAGGTAATAAATTTCCCATTCCTGAAAAGTTCCTGAGTTCTCCAGAGAGTCTTTGCAAAAACTGACAGCAATGTCGAAGTATTCATTTTATGCAAGGGTATCAACCCCTATGCAGAACTGCTAACATCACAGGGATATTACATTTTCCCATTTCTGCAAGCATATGGCACCTGAGGAGAATATAATAATCTTTTATGGGAGTGCCCTGATGCAGGCAAGAAATGTGATTCAGCAAAGAAGGCAGGCAAACCCCTTTGAAAGGCACAGCAGTTCTGTAGAGAACTGGCTCGTTGACTGTGCACACCGACAGCAATGGTGATAGCACACTTGAGCACAAGCACATGGACGCACACTTTTGTCCCGGCCATTTTCTGGTCAAGTTTATTATTTCCTGTTTAAGCTTCAATATTTATTTGCTATGTAATCTAAGTCTAGGAGTTCCTGTAGTTGTTTAAAAGCAAGCTGTTTCTGAACATAAACAGTGAGACCTCCCTATCTCAGCCACAAAACAATGCATTTTATTCTGGAACAATTGTTTTACTGATATCAATATTAGCCATATGTGCCCTTCATTTCCCAACCCCCAATTCTCCAATGTTGTGTATTGAAAAAGTGTCAATGTGATATTCCTGCAGCCAGGGTACCCCTGCCCCCCACCAATTTTGACATATGCACAAGAAATGCATGGCACTACAGCCCTAAGCATAAAACACATTAAGCTCTCACAACACAGACATGGATGAGTGCTTCCTTCTGCACTTGAACTGAAAAATGAAGGGGCGGAGGCATAACTTAGTGGCAAAGCAGTTCCTTTGCAGGGAGCCAGTCCCAGACCTGATCCCTACCTTCATCAGTTAAGGCAGCAAGCAGTTCACAGGGAAGACATTCTGCTTGAGACCTTTGAGATGTAGTGCGAGTGAAGACAGACACCACACTGTACAAAAAACTGACTTTCTGTAAGGCATCTTCCCATGTTCTTGATCAGTACCATGGTGATGGTGATAGGATATGGGGTGGAATGCTCAGGAGCAGAACAAATACTTTAAGAAGAACTCACTGTTCCTACTAATGACTGGAAAGGATTCCTGTCTAAAATCCCAGACAGCTAGAGTGATCAATGAGACCAAATGTGATGAAGCTGTGGCTCAATTTGGCCCACCATTCTCTGTACAACAGTTAGGTGGTGGTGTTTTTTTAGAAGCTCAGATAGTGTAAGTTGCTGCTTTTCCTTTCTTTTAAAAGTAATTGCTCTAGGGAGGGAGATTTTCAACAAGGAGTCATTGCTAGGATGGTAGTCTTATTGCTACAGAGAGGGTTTAAGGAAGGGAAACGGCTGTGGAGAAAATGAGGAAAGAGAGAGAGAGAGAAAGGTGGAAGAGGGAAAGAGAAAGAGAGAAAGCAAAAGGAGATCGGAATAAAAGAAAGGGGGAAAGTAAGCATGGTGGAGAGAAAAGGAAAAAGTAGAATTGACAGGTAGGATGTGAATGTATAAGTGCACAGGAGTGAGAAATGGTCCAGCTTGGCACTAGGCAGCTCCCTGTGTCCCTATGCCCAGAAATAATATATCACACAGTGTTTAAGGATGAATATCCTTAATCTTGATTCATGGGTCAAGCATAATTGTGCCCACCACAAGTTATGCAGTCATCTTCTACACCATGATGAGCACAATTGTGTCCAACTAGGAACATATTGTAGTATGATTGTTGAGATGCGGTGATGATATTCCCCAAACTACTTCAAGGAAAGTTGTCATTGTGCCTCTGAACCCTTCCATGAACCAAGAATAAGTCTGTTCAAAAGGGATCACTTCAGACTAAATGCTTTTTGCTTGTGTTATATGTTGTTGAATCCCATACAAGTACTAGTGATCCTAATAAAGCTTTTCAAGGTACAGTAAGTGAGATATTTAAGAAATGGGTTTACCAGTTCCACCTCCCATCCACCCTGCCCTGTGAGTTCTTCCGTCCAAGCAGGGATTAAAATCTACGTCTCCTGAGTCTAAGTCTGCCACTCTATCCAGTACATCACACTGTGTACCTAAATGTTTTCTAAAATATGGCTTTTATCTCTATTCTGCTGTATTTTTTTTTAAATGCACACACAAAAGGTCAACAAGTGCTATGCTGGTCCATAGGGTTAATTCCTAGACATCGCCCAAGGGGTATTATACAAAATAATGTACTAAGTGGTTCTAATATATTGGCCTCAAAGGGGCTGTAAGTCTAAACATACACACACACACACAATCTCTCTCTCTCTCTCTCCCTCCCTCCCTTGCGCACACATGCATACTCATCCTCACTCACAAATGCATTAATTAAAACATACACTGATCAGCCACAACATTAAAACCACTGACAGGTAAAATGAATAGCATTGATTATATAGTTCCAGTGGCACCTGTCAATGGTTGGGAGATATTAGGCAGCCAGTAAACAGTCAGTTCTTGAATTTCACGTGTTGGAAGCAGGAAATATGAACAGGCAAAAAGATCCGAGTGACCAAAAAGGGCCAAATACTGATGGCTAGACAAGTGGGTCAGGGCACCTCCAAAAATGGTAGTCTTGTGGAGTGTTCTTGGTATGCAGTGTTAGTTACCTACTGAAAGCGGCACAAGGAAGGATAACTGGTGAACCAGCATCAGAGTCATGCGCCCCCCCCAAGTCTCATTGATGCACATGGGGAGCGAAGGCTAGTCCGTCTGATCCAATCACACAGAAGAGCTACTATAGCTGAAATCGCACAGTGTGTTGCAGTTGGTTGTGTATGGGGCTGCAGACCGGTCAGTGTGCCCATGATGACTCCTATCCCCCACCAAAAGCAACTACAATGTGGATATGAGCATCAGAACTGGACCATGGAGCAATGGAAGAAGGTTGCCTGGTTTGATGACTCACATTTTGTTTGAGATCAGGTGGATAGCTGGGTTCATGTGTATCATTTATCTGGGAAGAAATAGCAGCAGGATGTGCTATGGGAAGAAGGCTGGCCAGCGGAGGCAGTGTTATGCTCTGGGCAATGTTCTGCTAGGAAACCTTGGGTCCTGGCATTCAGGTATATGTTACATTGACACATAGCACCTACCAAGAGATTGTTGCAGACCACATACACCCATACATGGCAATGGTGCCCTGATGGCAGTGGAGTCTTTCAACAGGATAATGCACCCTGCCACACTGCAAACATTGTTCAAGACTGGTTTGAGGAATATGACAAAGAGTTCAAGGTGTTGCCTTGGTCTCCAAATTCCCCAGATCTCAATCCAATGGAGCATCTGCGGGAGGTGCTGGAATACCAAATCCAATCCACCTTGCAACTTGCAGGACTTAAAGGATCTACTGCTAATTTCTTGGTGTCAGATATCACAGGACATGTTCAGAGGTCTTGTGGAGTCCATGCCTTGACACAAGAGCTGTTCTGGTAGCCTGTGTGGGATCTACCTGATATTAGGCAGATGGTTTTAATGTAGTGGCTAATCAGTGTAAGCCCCCCTTCTATCTTTAGTATCTGTCATCACCCCTTTTATATAGTATTTTTACAGTCAGTTGTTTATTTCTGTCGGATTGCTTTCTTCGTGACATATTTAGAGGATAGGGAGATGGAATTTTGATACTGTGGTTGAAATCTTGTTGCTTAACTTAGTAAATCATAACTAGAATAAACCTATTGAATCAATGAACTTATGTAAGAGCTGACTCATGGAATCTCCACTGATTCAGTGGGCTTACGCTAGCTGCGACCTATTATGCTAAGAACTTTGACCACTAAAACTTAGGAGCATTGAAGGTGCAAAATATGGCTCTGTTTGCAAGCATAAATTCCGGTTGGTATTCCCAGGCAAAGTGGAGAGTAGTGGCGTGGGGTTGGATGACATACATGGTGTGAAGGAATACAAATGCAGGAGCAGATAATACCTTTATTGGACCACTAAAAAAAACCCAGTAGATTGCTAGCTTTCAATAATAATTCATCTTTATTATGTTGTGCACCAAGATATTAGGGTCCCAAAGTTTAATGGTATGGCTGTTGCTCATGTCAGGCAAGTTTTCTTAAAGTGAGCTGAGCAGTATGCAAATAGCTTGTGGGGTGAGTGGAATTTTTCAGTGGTCCTATAAAGGTATTATGAAAGGTCTCTCTGGGATTA